GGGTCAGGGGTGGGGATGGTGCGTACGGGTCAGGGGTGGGGATGGTGCGTACGGGTCAGGGGTGGGGATGGTGTGTATGGGTCAGGGGTGAGGCTGGTGTGTCTGCATCGGGCTTTAGGGTTAGGGGTGGGGGTGTGTCCCAAACAGCACCTTGGTTAGCCATTTTTGTCCCTGCCTATGTCTCTGAGCATCTGTGACCATAGGCCACTATAAGACCAACTGCCTCCTCCCCTGTGTTAAAGTTCTCACCTGACTTTCAGTCAATTTCAACTTGGGATTTCTGGATGAATAATATGTAGGTCACATTGACCTGCCTTCGTGTAGATTCGAAATCATGTCCCAGCTCCCACTCCAATCGATTCCATTTAAATCTTTGAATTGAAGTATGAAATCTGATGATTGAAGCTTCTCTCCAGCAGTGGCTGTGTCCATACTAGAATAGGAGGTCTGGGTTAAAGTCCCACCTGCTCCAGAGGGGCGTAATGACATGTCTGCGCAAGTTAGGTAGCCCCTAAATTAGACAAAGTTATTGGAACTGAGTGAGCATCTGGGATTGTTCATAGAGATAAACACCAACAGAGTCTGATTGGGTTAAAAGACCCATTCGTTGTTTTTTGTAAAGTAACTAGCCTTCATACCAAAATATCATATGACACCCAAAGCCTCATTATCAGCATTGCAGCCTTTATGACAATTTTGATTTTCACGATCAGAATTGAAATGCTGATGCTGATATCGGGATTGCTAAAAAAAAGGGTGTGCCTTTTCCTGAGAGTAAACGGCACCACCTCAGTAAATGCAGGACTGATCTTTAGTGTGTTCCTCACAGGGCGGTACTCCTTAATTCTTTGCTCAGAGTTATGCTGATTGGTACAAATATTTGTTTGAACTATTCTCAAAGTCTGCACAGCGATAGCTTTTTGCTAAAGGAATACAGTCCCTCTTGAATTCCATTATCTGGCTTCTAAATCCTTTAAAATAACAATAAAAAAAGAAAAGGCCTTTAAAGTTATTTTTGGATAGCTGCCAAAGAAACTCATAATGATGGTCATGTTTAATAATTCCATTCACCAATATGCATTTGGGAATTGCATTCAAATACCTGAATCATCAAATTAAACAATCATGATTTTTATGCACTGCTGAACAAAGAAAACGTGGACATAGAGTCATACAGCATGGAAACAGACCCTTTGGTCCAACTAGCCACGCCGACCATATTCCCAAACTAAACAAGACCCATTTGTCTGCATATTTTTTATTCATTCATGGGATGACGGCATTGCTGGCCAGGCTGCATTTTATTGCCCAGAAGGCAGTTAACAGTCAACCACATTGCTGCGGGTTTGGAGTCACATGTAGGCCAGACCAGGTAAGGATGGCAGTTTCCTTCCCTAAAGGACATTAGTGAACCAGGTGGGTTTTTCCCAACAATTGACAATCAACAATCAACAATGGATTTGCGGTTATCATTAGATTCTTAATTCCAGATATTTATTGAATTCAAATTCCACCATCTGCCGTGGTGGGATTCGAACCCGGGTCTCCAGAATGTTATCTGGGTCTCTGCATTAACAGTCCAGCAATAATGCCAATAGGCCATTGCCTCCCCTTATTTGGCCCATAACCTTCCAAACCTTTTCTATTCATTTACTTATCTAAATGTCTTTTAAATGTTGCAACTGTACCTGCATCCACCATTTCTTCTGTAAGTTCATTCCACACACGAATCACTCTCTGTGTAAAAATGTTGCCCCTCATATCCTTTTAAAATTTACTCCTCGCACCTTAAAAGTATGTCCCCCAGTTCTGAAATCCTCCACCCAAGGGAAAAAACTCTTGATATTCACCTTATCTATGCCCTTCATGATTTTATAAACATGATTTTATAAGGTCACCCGCATCCTTCCACACACCAGTGAGAAAAGTCCAAGCCTATCCGGCCTATTTTTACATCTCAAACCCTCCATTCCCGGCAACATCCTGGAAAATCTTTCTATACCCTCTCCAATTTAATAATATCCTTCCTATAGTAATATGACCAGAACTACACACAGTACTCCAGAAGAGGCTTCACCAACATCCTGTACAACCTCAACATGACCTCCAACTCCTATACTCAAAGGTCTGAGCAATGAAGGCAAGTGTGCTAAATGCTACCTTAACCACCCTGTCTACCTGTGATACAAATTTCAAAGAATTATGTACCTGAATCCCTAGGTCTCTGTGTTCTACAACACTAGCAGGGCCTCTGCCATTAATTGTATAAGTCCTGCTCTTCGTTTTACCAAAATGTAATACCTCGCATTTATCCAAATTAAACTCCATCTGTCACTCCTCAGCCCATTGACCCAATTGATCAAGATCTCTTTGTAATTTCAAATAACCTTCTTCACTGTCCACTAGACCACTAATTTTGGTGTCATCCACAAACTTATTAACCGTGCTTCCTATATTCTCATCCAAATCATTTATATAAATGACAAACAAAAGTGGATCCGGCACCCATCCCTGCGGAACACCGCTGGTCATAGGCCTCCAATCTGAAAAACAACTCTCCACCACCACCCTCTGTCTCCTACCATCAAGCCAATTTTGTATCCAATTGGCAAGCTCTTCCTGAATCCCATGTGATCTAACTTTACTAATTAATCTACCATGCGGAACCTTGTCCAAGGCTTTACTAAAGTCCATGTAAACAACGTCTACCGCTCTGCCCTCATCAATTTTCTTGGTTACTTCCTCAAAAAAATCGATCAAGTTTGTGAGACACGATTTCCCTCGCACAAAGCGATGCTGACTTTCCTTAATCATTCCTTGCCTCTCCAAATGCAAGTAAATCTTATTTTTCAGAATCACCTCCAACAACTAATTAATGGTACAGCCCTGGGTAGTACTGTAGAACAGAGAGACCTAGGGGTTAAGGATTCTCAAGTTTCTCCTTACAGCCCTTCTTAAACAAAGGCACAACTTTAGCCACCTTTGGTCCTCCTGCACCTCACCTGTGGTTATAGATGATACAAATATTTCTGCTAGGGGCCCTGAAATGTCTTCACTAACTTCCCACAGCGTCCTGGGATAAACTTGATCAGGTCCTGGCGACTTATCCACCTTTATGTTTCCTAAGACTCCACCACTTCCTCTTCTATCATGTGAACTGTTTTCAAAATATCAATATTTATTTCCCTGAATTCTCTTGCATCCATTACTTTCTCCACATGTGAAATATTCATTTAGTATCTCTTCCATCTCCTGAGGTTCTGCACATAGAACTTAAAAGACCCCACCCTACTTGGCCAGACTGTTAAAAATGACCTAAAAAATAAC